CCATCTGTGTTTTGGAGATTTTTCTGAAATGTTGAGACATAGCCCTTGTTAAGGTCAAGTTTACTATGTAATTGTCTGTAATGTACACCAGGGGCCTTTGGATTTGACTAATTTACATAAATCCTTCTCTCAGAGAGTCCAGGACCTGCAGCAAAAGACAGAGATGAACTTCAGGGCTTTAAGACACACCAGACTTCAGTTAACTTCAGTCACCATGCAGAGGCTGTAATAAACACTGTGACGGGGAGCTGCCATTTTTGTTCCAAATGACCTCCTGTGGATGACTTATTATACTTTAACGTGAAAATTACTTCTATCTCTAACTTTAGCTGCTTTGATTCAGAAGATGATTGATTTTTGCTCAGTCACTAGATATTCCTGATCATTGACAGGAAACTTCCCAGTCCACTTCTGGAGGATAGATGGCCTCTTTCCTGACATGGACTCTATGAGGTGATGTGGATACTTCTTCATTCTCACCCTAACGTGTCATCTGAAGTCTTAGAAATTTAGAAAAATAGCATAAGAAAATTTTATTTATAACTTTCATTTGATAGATCTTTAGGAGAAAATTGAGACAGAAGGAGGGGGACAGTTTTGTTTTCTTAGATCACTGTGATGTGAAGAGAATTTTCTGACACTCTTTAACTCAGGGGAACTCTTGTTGGTGAAGTGCTCCCTGAAAAGAGGGTCAAACAGATGATGAGGCTTAGGGCACAGTACCCCAAATATGACACATCCTTGGCTTATTGAAGTGAACTGGAGGAGTTGAGAAAGGGGAGGTACAGGACGGACTCTGAACTTCTGCCTGGAAGTAAGTGAGAAGTGTAAGGAATCACTTTGTAAAAACAATTCTTTCTCTTTTTGCTATCAAATATAGGAGGAGAATGTGCTAGAATGTGTTATCTCTCTTATTATCCCTAATTGACAAAACATATGGAACAGGTTCTCTTCACTTGCCACCTGCTCATCTCAACATCCAGGAAGATAGGTTATGAGCCAAGCTAAGTTAGCTAAGTGTGTGCTCCTAGCAGGGCTCATCTTTCATATTCAAGGCATATCTTCCTCATCAGTTTGGAAGGAAAGTACCTCACCCTTCAGTTCTTAAATCATCTTACCTGGCTAGTGTGAGGTATTCTTCGCAATAAAGTAAAATGAGTTTCCTAAGCTTGACAAATCACTGATAGGCTGTTGTAAACTTAGTGGGAAGGCTGTTTTATGGATTCAAGAATGGGTAGAAGCTCTACATTATAAAGGGCTAGCCTGTACTTACCGGTGAACTAAACGTGAACTCTGTTTTCCTTAATGATGGGTATGAGATGGAATGGAAGCAAACCTCTCTCATAATCACCTCAAATATCCTAGGAATGCAGCATGATCTTTCCTAAAGATAGATCGCCTGCAGGGACCGTTACTACGTGGGAAAAAAATTCTCCAGGGAATGGGAAATAAAAGGTTCCTATGATTCTATTTTCAAGTGTTTTATTTAAGCTCATTCCCAGAAACTCCCTTGTATAGTGATTATGGTTTCTTTCCAAAAATTGTTAATGTTAAGATAAATTTACAGTATCTTATAACAGGAAGCTATTTACATTATATTTCCTATGTTGTGAAAAATGCCTGTTGAGCTTATCTGCTCCTATGTTATATATATTTGGAGAGAATTTTGAAAAACTAGGAAAAACAAAAAATTCTATATCTTTTGGAATGAGATCTTAAAAATCCACAAAATGTCTGAGTTTGACTTCTGTCTCCATCACCAGTTACTTACAAAATCCTTGATAAATCATAACTGCCTACCTTTCAGTGTGTAATATTGAAATAAGAATAATAAAACATACTTAGTGGTTGCTATAAGGATTTATAATAAAAGTTTACAAAAAGATCTATAATTTTTGGTCAAGGTATGCTCAATAAGTCATAGCTCTTAGCTTTCCTATTATCTTAATATTTGTAAATTCATATTATATTAATCTATATGTATATTTTTAACATTGAGTTATACTTTTGACATCTTGGGGCACGTTAGATTCTGCTCATTTTTCCTCGCTATGCAGTTCAGGCTGGCCTTGAGCTCACTTTGTAGCCTAGGCTGGTCTCAAACTTGCAGTGATACTTCTGCCTCAGCCTCCCAAGTGCTGGGATTATAGGCACATGCCACCACGCCTGGCTGAACATTAGACAGCTTTATTTATTTATTTATTTGGTACCAGTAATTAAACTCAGGACCTTTTGCTTGCCAGGCAGGTGCTTATGCTGCTGAGCTGTCTCCCTGGCCCTACATTAGATTCCTAAGAAAATGAGAATATAAAAAGTCATTGAAAATAATTTTACTATTTTAAAAAATTATTATTTTCCTTCCAAGGGATAATGCTACAATGTTATATTAGACATTTATAAATAGTGCTAGAATTATTAAGAGTGATTTGTGAGAGCTTTAAAATTTAGATTTTTCTGTTTTAAAGAATATCTGAGCTCAAAATGTGATGCAACTTCTGTGCATTAATCCACTGCATACTCCCACAGACCTCCCATTATGCCTTGACAACAGCTTGTCATCCATTTGGCAGAAATTTACCCTTTGAGAACAATGAAATTCCAAATTGTGGAGGTGTTTGTTAAAATGGAAACTTTGGTTTAATCCCCTCATCCCATATGTATAAAAGTAAAAAGAAATCCAGTTTGTTAAAGGTAAGTGATTTAATGAGGACAAATTTTATATTTAGATCTTAGCTATACTTTGATAATTTAACAGAGTACATTGATTTAAAATTTGTTTACAGCAAGAGATACTACATACTGAATTAGATTGAAAAATTCTTTTCCATGGGCATGCGAATGCATTTCTTCTTTGGGAATGGTTTAGGAAATCAATGCTTTATTTTTAACTTTGTTTTTTGTTAGTACATATTTGTCATATATGTAAATCACATTCATCATAGGGAATCTGTACCTGTACATGACATGTCTTATTTCTTTTTCTCCTCATTCCCTTCCCTTACAATTCTACCTCTCTTCTCCACTTCTAAAAGCTTCATTTGCATTTTTCCTTCCATTCTCTTGTTTTCCTTCCCCCTCCCCCTTTCCTCGCTTCCTCCTCCTCTTTGTTCTCCTTCCTATTTGCACATATTTTTTCTGCTTCCCAATATTTATCCTCCGTTATGCACCTTATTTACCTTTCGGGTTTCTCACACAAGAGGGACAATGTGATATTTAAACTTTGTGTCTGATTTATTTTACTTGAAATTCTGGTCTTCAGGTGCATCCATTTTCCTACAAATGACTCAAGTTTATACTTCTTTATAGCAGAATGGTACTCTATTGTGTGGAAACACCACATTTTCTTTATCCATTCATCTTTTGATGGGCATATGGGCTATTTCCAAGAGTTAGCTATTACAAATTGTGCTGCTATAAACATTGACATTCATATATCACAGTAGTATGATACTTTTAACTCTTTCCAGGAAGATACCTAGAAGGGGAACAGCTGGATCAAATAGAGCCTTTAGTTTTACTTTTTTGAGGAATCTCCATACTGATTTCCATAGTGCTTATGCCAGTTTCTACTCCCAACAAGCAACAGAGAAGCGTTCCTTTTCCTCCATATTCTCACCAGCATGTGTCATTGGATGATTTCTTGATGATGGCCATTCTTTCTAAAAACAGAAACACTTAATACGCTGAACGATACACTAGGTAAAACTATAGACGATATAACTATAGGCAGAGGCTTTATGAAGAAAACCCTGATCACACAGGAAATATTACAAAGAGTCAACAGTTGGGATCACATCAAATTAAAAAGCTTTTGCACAGCAGAAGTAACAATGAAGAGAGTGAAGAAATGACTCAGTGAATGAGAAAGAATGTTTACGAGCTACTCCTCAGACAAAGGAGTAGCAGCTAGAATATATAAAGAACTCAGAAGAAATCACACTCTCCCAAATTTAAAGGCACAATCCAAAAATGGGCATCAGAGATGAATGGACATTTTTCAGATGAAGAAATACAAACAGCAAATAAATACATGAAAAAATGCTCAACATCACTGGTTATCATGCTTTGCTGTACAGTTCTTAGTTTTCATTCTTTGACTACAAAAGCTCACTCATCTTAGGTGTCATTCCAATTATTTTCACATTTAACACAAAAAAAGCAAACAAAAATGTAGCAGGATGACTTGAAATAAATAAGAAATCCTGGAAACTAAATGAAATTTTCATCCAATTTTCCCCATTGATTGGGCAACAAGTTAGGCTAACGTATAAAATCTGCAATTCTGAACTGTGAGTAGTTACATATTTTGCCTCTGATTGGTTAATTCATACCTATATTACTATCTCAGTTTCTTTATTTTGCTGGCATAGTATAATCATGATTACTGTGAAATAGAATTATTGATTTTAAAATCCACATTAGATGAATGGCTTAAATTAGATTATAAAAAGAAAACATTTTAAAAATGCTAATATTTTCAGGGAAAACTAAAAGTACACTGCCTGAATCTCAGTGTGTTATTTTTATAAACTCACAAGTACTTTCAAAAGTCTATGGTGTCAGTATATTTTGACATTGAAGCATTTGTAACCAGTTTTGAGTGAGACTAAGCTTTGAATATAAAATCTGAAAATAATTCAGAATTAAAATAATCCTTTGTAAATCTGGCAATTATACACACATTTATTTATTTATTTATTTGTAATTTGCTTTTCTCTCACATTATCATTTTATTCAGAAATAAAGACTTTATGAGCCAAAGTAACTTTCTTTTCAACTTTTAAAATCTGAATTCTGGAAATTTAATTAATTTTACTAAGGTCACATCCTAGATAGAGGAAGTCAAAGTCTAATATATATTAACCCAGTGCTACTGCTTTTATTTATTCCAGTTGCTCTACTTTTTGACATAGACATTGAAACTTAGAGCTATACCCTCACAAGACACTGCCTTAAGGGAGAGACAAATATGTAAACAAATAACTTATAATAACCTTGGAAAGCAGGGTGAGTTTAATTGTTTCATGGGAACTTTATGATAGGATCAACTCCAACTGTCTGGAGACTGTATGGGAAGACTTCACTGAAGAACATGCCTGAGAAGGAATAGAAGAATTCAAGACATTATAGGAAGAATAGCAGCAATAGGATGACAGCAATGAGGAAACAGATCATGCTAATGCTTTGAAACATAACAGGGCACCTCACATGAACCCAAAGAGGGACAGAAGAGAAGAACCTAGAAGAAAGGATACATCTAGTCTTCAAGTTTTAGATATCTTTCTAGGGAATTTAGACAGAAGTACAGACAATTAAAGGCCATACGAGGATTCTAATCATGGGAGGAAACTTCATTTACTCGAGAAATATTTGAGTGCTTAGGGGGCAACCTGCTCAGAGAAGTCTGCCCGTTTGCTTCCCTGGGTCAAGTGTGGGTGGAGCTTAGTGTCTGCTTCTCAGATCCTCATTAAACTGAGCCTCTGAGCATATGGCACTCATTTGTTTCTTGGGGCCGCGGAATGAGGGATGCTCTCCTTGCTTGCTTCCTGGTGGCCTTGGTGGGTTGAGATGTTTAGGACTGATTGTGTGGCTGCTTCTTGGGGCTAAGTGTAGGTCTTTCATGGAGGATTTTGTATTTTATTTTCTCTGTGGTCCTAGGGGATCAATTCTCTTTCTCTCTCCCTCTTCCCCTCTGCTCTGTCTTTATTTCACTAGTGTTTCTAGTGGTTGCCCTACAGTTTGCAAGAAACTAATTCATGTCTATTTTAGAGTGATGCTATAACACTTCCTGGTTAGTGGGAAGTTTTGCTGCTTGGTGTCCTCTGAGCTTTGTGGACCTGTGGTCTGGTGTCTGACATTAATTAGGGGACTTAGTCATTGCTGTTTTGAATATTTCTTGTGCCCCTCTCTTATTCTTCTCTTTTGGGTGTTCCCATTACACACATGAATGCCTTTGAGTTATCCCCTAATCCTTGGACATTTGATATTCTGCTTTTTTGTTTTTTGGTTTATTTGTTGTTGTTGTTGTTCTTTTTTTTTTTTCTTTTTACTTTTCAGTTTTGACAGTTTCTACAGTGATATGCTTAATCTTAGGAATTCTTTTCTTGGCCATGTCCAATATACTAAGAAGCATGCCAAACATATCCCCAAATTCTGTTCTAGTAAATTTGATCTCTACCATCTCTTTTGGATTCTTTTCTTAGAATTCCCATTTCCCTGTTTACATCTTTTACCAGTTCTTGTGTGCTGTCTAATTTGTCCATTAGATCCTTTAGTATACTATTCATTGTTCTTTTAAATTCCCAGTCCGATAATTTCTTTTTTTTTTTTTTTTTTTTTGGTTTTTCTCCGGTACCAGGAACCGAACTCACGACCTTGAGCTTGCCAGGCAGGTGCTTTGCTGCTGAGCTAAATCCCCAGCCCCTCCAGTCTGATAATTTCAACAATTCTGATATCTCTGGTTTTGATGTTTGTCATATCTTTTCAAATTCTGTTTTTTGCTTTTTTGTATGTTCTCACATTTTTTTCTTGATAGCCATATATGATATATTGGGTAGACAGAACTGCTATAAATAGGACTTTAGTAATGTGGTAGAAAGGTGTCAGGGGACAAAAAGCATCCCATAGTATTATGATCAGGGCTCAGTCTACTTGGAGCCTTGGTCTCTGGACTGTGACTTTCACACATGCTAACAGTCCTCTTCCTTCTCTCTCAGGTGAGACAGTATAGCTAGCGTCAGTTGGAACTGAATATTTCTCTTCTCTTAGATGGGAGCTGCGAGGGCTGCATTGGGTATTCTCCTTCCGCCAGGTCAGTTAGGCACTGGTAAAACTATAAGTTGAGTTCTCATTAAACAGTTTCTCTTGAGGGCAGACTCGTTAAGTAGAACAGAATGTTCAGACATATTTCCAGATAGTTCTTTTTCCCCTCTTCTGCTAGAACAAGGGGATTATTTTTCTCCCTCTGCCCTGAGAAGATCCAGTGAATTTCTAGAAGGTAGAAGTCGCAAAACTTTGGAGACCGCACAAATGCCTGTGTCACTCTGAGGTTTTCATCTCTCAAATTTGTTCTCATTGAGCCCCCAGCAATTTATCAGTTTTACCAGTGGTTTTCCTACTGGTGCCCATCCAGGTTTTTGCTTTGGTAGCTGTAATTCTTTATATTTGCCTGTCTCTACAATTTTAGGAATAGCAGTTTACTCTGTGACCTTACTTTGCATAAAAATCTGAGAAGAGTAGTTGTTCTGTTTATTTAGAATAAAGTGGTAATTTAGAAGTTCTTTATATAACTGCTGGTCCAGAACCAGAAGTCTCTGTCAAGAGCAATTTTTTCCACAATTAATTTTATTAAGCAATGCCTTATGAGTAAAGAAAAAGAAATATTTGTACAATTCAGTATCATTTGACGTTCTCAGGCCTTTTTGAATCTCTAATTGCTTGAGAAGGGCAAGATCCCATCCCAAAGCATAATGCCTTCATCCTTTTTACTAACTCTCCTTTGTATATTCTTTCAGAAGGTCACATTAACCACTGGGTGGGCCTTCCCAGGACAATCACAGACTAAGGAAATACAGAGAGGGCTTCTCTTAGCAGCCACTCCATCAGTGAATAATACCAAAAATTTTAGAGAGTTATGTTTTCTCCACTTTGTTATTCACGTGACATTTTATATTTCAGGGCAACACTAATATGTCTTGTTACACTGTGAATTTACAAGAAAAAATTATAAGTGCTAATATATTATAGAACTCCAAAACATTTTGTGATTCAAGAAAACTGTGCCTAGCCCCATTCAGGGCATTTGAAGAAGCACCCCGCTCTTCACACCCATGCAATCATAATTTGTTTACCGTGGTGCTTGAGAGCTGCAGATGGTTAAACGTGAACGTGTATCAGACAGCATTTAAGGGCTGTGGAAGACACGTGGACCATTCAAAACAGGACTTCATTATTAACTCTCTTAAGCTCCTAAAACCAACCTGGAAGAGCTGCCAATAGTGAGGGTAACTTGGAGTTCATAATGGAAAAAGCTATAGCACCAATATGTTGAAAAGATGACTTCTTTCTCCATTTGTGCTACTCTACAGTTCTGTTTAAGCTGTGAGCATAAGCAGTCTCTCAAATTATTCATTTTATAAGGAATATTAACTTCCAGATGGCAATATGATCTGACAACAGATTCAGCTCCCCTCAGGCTTTGGTAAAAAGATACGATGCTTCTTGTCATATTATTAGACATTTTCCATTGAATAGAGAGACTTAGGGCATTAACCTGGGGTGCACTGCAAATTGTACATACAAGTACTTAAGGCTTGCAACCCAGAGAACACATGGAACCAATTCAGTGTTGGGGGTTACATTTTCACTCAAAAATGGATTTGAATAGATCTTATAATAGAAAAATAAATTTACAGGTAAGTATCTTTTCCCAGGCAGGGATGGCACACCTTGTAGAGCTTTCAATAATAACAGCCGGACACACATGCCACAGATTCCCCAGCGCTATCCTAGAGTGGTGAAGGTAGGAGCATTTATTTAGTAGCGGTAGGAGTAATATATTTTTGTTTGATTTATATTTAAATATAAGAGAAAAAAGAGAAAACTATTCCATCTGAAGCAGTACTTTAGGTGGAGTGGTGACACACCACTACTACCAGTATCAACACCAACTAGTTTTTTCATATCTTTTTGTGGCATATCCTACTCATTCAGTACTTACCATCTGATAGTTTATTGTCCTTTGATGTCTCAATCATTTTTCTTCAACTTTACTGAGCACAAGTGATGAACAAGATTTACTTGATATTCTTTCTGTTTTGTGACATGCCTCAAAATCAAGAAAACAAATACAGTATGATCATTTACATATTTAATAAATACAATGCAAAAATGGAAGCTGAGAGCTCAAAACTTTTCCCATGTTTTACACTTGATCTTAGCCAAAAGGCTGAGAAGCGATTTTCCCGTGTTTTATAAGTACTATGTAAGAAGCTTACCAAAACTTCATCGAACAATTTCTGGAATTAAAAGAAGTAGGCGGTTTGCCACATCCCACGTGTGGAATGCAGACCATCAGGAATTCTGGGTGACGCAATCCAAACAAATCAAGATGATGCAAACCATTGCATTAGATGGTGAGGAGATCTTCCCTCCTCCCACACAAAATGCCTGGGAAACGGGAAAAGCAAGTTCAAGTAACATGGCCTTTCTGTGGTAGAAAAGTAATCCTCCCATGCCAGAGATCAGTGAGTGAATATTATGGGTAAGTCTATGATTGAAAGAGACTCAGATTTTGCTAGTCCAACAGCCACTTGACTGCAGTCTTTCAAATCAAGACAAAGTTCATAATGATTCAAAGTTATAGCAACAAAAAACCCTTGCTTTTGATCCTTGCTGGGGGAAACCGCCAAGACATATTTAGAGTGAAAGTAATTCAGAATTATCTCAGAGGTCTATACAAATTAGCTAACATTAGATAGCATTTTAGTCAATGACTATGTTGAATGTAAGAATTACAAAAGCTACAGTATTCATGTATGCTTTGAGATATAATCTGATATCCTATTTGAGGATAATTTCTCACTGTACAGTTTTGCTGGGGTGCAGTGTCTTATATTTCAATATAAAGAGCATACAGAATAGGGCCTACCCCGATCATTAAGCAGTGGCAATAATTTAGTCCCTTCAACTAGATTTTCCACATCTATCAAGTCCTTACTCAGTGACCCATACAAGAATGGTAGTAATTCATTTTCAGCATCAGTGCCTATATGAGGGTCACATAGTGAGCTCTTGATATCCTCACAGCATTGTACAGGCTTAAACTAGACACAATATTTTTCTGTTATTTTTAGCCAAACAGTGTTCTAATTGATACAGAAAACAGACTGATGTGAACAAAATATCCATGGGGAAATATGGACAAAATAGATTTGGTGAACTGGTATAGATGCATCCTAAGTCCTGTAATATTCTCCTATGGGAATTTAGTAATCATGGCAAGGATCTGGGAAACTTCTAACTAAATCATCCTGCATGCACTTGGGAACAACCTCTGGAAGACAACATTGCTACCACCAAAGTATTTTCACAGGAATTCATGGTTGCATCTTTCATGCCATTAGAAGTGTGTATTTAAAGAAAGGAATTATACACTCATGTCTAAATTCATAGAACTGGAAATGAAGATATACAACTGGCTTTCACCTACCTTACCCTAGACATCCCTTGCTGCCTGATGCAGGTTCTCCTATCTTGTCTGATGGCTCTTTCTCATTTATTTGAGGTTTATTCTGCTACCACCTCATTGTAGCGAGTTTGTCAGTGGAATGCCATTGCTACATCTGCTTATTCTTAAGTTATTCACACCCACCACCAGAGTTAGCTGTCAATATAGGAATGGAGACAAACTACAAATACAAACTTGGAAGTGGGGTTGATGTCCTGTTCATGAAAAAGAATCAAAGAATGATTTATATTGGAAAATTTTGGATAATATGTAAAAGAACAGATTTTACTCATATGAGGGTAAGGCATTTTTAGATCACTGGAACAAGTTGCTAAGATAAAATTCTTGTTTTACTGTGAACATTGATACTTATATAACTTTGTTAAATCCTTCCTATATGTGTTTTGAAGACACCAATACAGTTAATCATTATCTCCAAGTGATTATATAAGGAAATGCATTTGAGTTACAAGATTAATAGATTATGCAATTTTGGACATTTTGTCAGTTGTTCTCTTTTCATCCCTTGTGTCTCCTTCCCTTAGCTGCCTACATTTAGTTTATTTTGCATCACAACTATTAGTGATATGTTCAGTGTGATTCATCTGTGAGAAAAATTTAGGAACAACCTAAATATATCTTTTAAAATTCTTCCACTTTATTGTCTGAAGCCATCTTTTTTCCTCCCACTTGGCTATAGCAGGAAGAGAGCTGAGATGAAAATGTGAACTCTTCTTATACTTTTTAAAAACTTTTCTAGATTTCTCCACTTTAAACCCACTTTTCCTTTATAACAAATTATTTTTGTCTCCTGACCACTAGATTGTTGCCTTTGGCCATGTCCCTAACATTTGTGCCTTTGAAGAATTGTTCTTAATAATAATAATTCTCTGAGAATTGTTTTGGAAAATAGGCAGTATTTTTCTATAGATTTAAACATATTGAAGTTAAATCCTTCCAAAACATAAAAAAAAATGCATGGTTTTATCATAAAAGAAATTAAACAAAAACAAACCATTACCCTGATGTTCAAAGAGTCATAAGATTACATAACTGTACTGCACTCAGAAAAGAAATAATATTTAATGTTTTTTAAGGATTGGTATGAAAGCAACATTAGAGTGAAACTGAGGAAAGAAATCTTTGAAGGTTAAAAATTATAACTTCTTGTAACATCCAAACAGTTGTATGTGTTAAATGGTACAGGGCTACTGCTATTTCTTTTGCTTTAAATATAATACAGAGAGAATATTAAAATCTCACTCTTAGAGCATATGTTAGATGCATCCAATAAATTTGTGTAAAATATCCCAAATAATTGTTGAGAGTTTATTATAGCCACCTTCATTCAGTAACTTAGAAGGTGAGTTAGTCAGGATCATCCCCCAAAATAGGACAAATTGAAACTGACACACACACTTGGGGGCTAGGGAGTCCGAATTCGATAGGACATTAAGGTGACCTTCAGGTAGGAGTAGGTGTTGTAGCCTTGAGATTTAAGATTCTGGAAACAGAAGTGGAATTTCTTTATTGCAGAGTGGAGATGGACTTCCTCCTGCTTTGGGAATCCTCCATCTCTGCCCTGAAGGCCTCCTCCACTGACTGAATGTAGAGTGTCCAAATTATGCCGCACAATCCATTTTACTTAAAGTCAACTGGCTGTAGATGTAGATCTCATCTAAGAAACACCTTTACAGCAACATCTAGACTAGTGGTTTTTGTTTTATTTTTTGAAGCAGGGTCTTGCTCTGTCTCCTAGCCTGTCCTCGAACTTTCCATGCATCCCAGTTGGCCTCAAACTCATGATCCACCTGCCTCAGCTTCCCAGATGGTAGGATTACTGGCATACGGTAGCATCCCAGCTCAGACTAGTGTCTGACCAAACAACTGGGTACTCTGCTCTAGCCAAATTGACAAATAAAGTAAACCATAATGGGAGACTTGAAGAGAAAGAATATTTTGTATCTAATTTGGTTAAAATTGCTTCAAGGTTTTTTTCTATGATCATTGTTCTCAGTGAATTTTCCTAAGAATTTGACGTGATCTTGAATTTCTTATATGTAGATTACTGTGTTACGTATTGTACTGTAAGAGTCAGCGCCAGCAAATTACACAACAGAATATACCTGAGGATCTTAGATCCATTCTTTCTTGCAAGTCAGCTGCTGGTAGCTTATCCTTGGTTACTAAACACAGCGGATCACATACATGATGCAGAGAATGGAGTAGAAAAGTTGTAATTAAAATTACACCACTTAGAGTTGTAGCCTCCAATAAAAAACATGAGAAAATTTTGTTCTAACATACTGAGAATCAGGAAAATGAACAAATAAGAAGTCATAAGGGGGTATTGTAAATTGAGTAACAGATTATAAACCTCAATACTAATTGTTTCATGTTACAAATTGCTTCTGCTGTTTAGCAGATCCTACTCTTGGTTACATTTGGAGGGGATATATCAATAACTTTGTCTCTCACAAAAATCAAATTCCATCAAAGATGACAGAAGGCTGACACAGGCTAATAAGACACATTGCCATTAATCTTTCTCAGTTCCCCTCCTCACTTGGAACACACTTATCCCATTATTCTTTATTTAGTTTTGTCCTTGTTTTTTTTTCTAAAATAAAACAACTTATTTGAAGATGAGGGGAGGGAGAAGAGAGAGATGGTACGCAGCTAGTTTGGATGAGTAGGGAGTATTGAAAAGGAAAAAGAAAGTCCCACCATTCTTGACACTTTCTGAAGGAGTTCTAGAAATCTTTTGTGCCTTTAGTTGCCCTGTTGTGTTCTGGCTCAATGTCTAGAATCAGTTAAAAACATTTACTTTTCATAGTTATTTTCACATTGTGGAAAAGCCAGAGGTCACATCCAGATCCAGTAAATAATGTGGATGAGAACAGACAGCATTTTTATGAGCCAGCTTTTCTAATGGAAGGCACGTAGCAGCAGCTTTTGCCATATTTTTGTCCATGTGGCATAAAGACACAAATAAAAGAGGACTTCGAGAACTGCTTCAGAAAGAGGTAAGAGTGATGGATAAATGTATTTAAAGTGAGGGGGAGTATTTTGACGGAGATTAAGGGCAGTGTGTCTTGTCTTCTACTGTAATTATTTTAAAATTTTAAACACTCATTGTATCTTTTGGTCCTATCTTGTGTTACTTAAGAAACCAGGTCTACTTCTCTCTGCTATGACTTGATAATTCAGTGTTTTTTTTTTTTTGGTTTTTCTCCGGTACCAGGAACCGAACTCACGACCTTGCGCTTGCCAGGCAGGCGCGTTGCCGCTGAGCTAAATCCCCAGCCCCTAATTCAGTGTTAATCAGAATTATTTTTGTTTTGCATTATGTAACCAGTTTCTACTTTAGTAAAGTCATATAAATACATTGTCAGTTAACGAAGACCTCAGAAGAAAACCAAATACACAAGGGGCCCTGGTTTGGTATCCAAGAGAAAGATTTAATTATTATTTATTTAACAGCATAGTAGTTTTT